GCCAGTGGTGTAGGGCTACAACTACCTGGCGTTACGGATTATTCTGCCAGATATATTTCCTATAAAACATCACAAAGTAGTGCAAAATGCCCATCACAACTTCCCATAGCCCAAAGTCATGTCTTATTTGTTCTATCCAACCAACAAGTCAAAAAACAAATGGCTACACAGCATAGCAGATATTTGGCATTTTTTGTCTGAAAAATGAGAAATAATCAATTATCAAGTTGTCATATAGTTGGCAATTATTTGCCTTGTCGTTGCGGCTCTGTGATGATATAATTTATTTGTGTGTGAAATTACTTTTCCTGGTCTGGGTCTTCTAAATCCTTCTAAGAAAACCCAGCTCTATTTACCTGAGGGGACACCACGTTTTTACAGGCTTTTGTGAACAGTGGCGGATTATCGTATCAAATTCCGAGTTTGTTGGTTAACCACCTGAATAGTTGTACTCTAGTCAGATGTTGCTATGTTTCCTCACCTTCATTAGCTCCCTTCCTCAGCTGCTTGTAGTTAGAGGCTTGCTGCACCAGGTCCAGGATAGTTTTGGTCAGCGTGGCGTCGGCCAGCGGGTAGGCCTTTGGGTTCACTTGAGCTTCAGTCTGAACATGATACATAAAACAAAAATAACACTACATTAACCTCAAGAAAGCATTTTTTAAATGAACAAATACGGCGCTGTTACTTTGAGTTTCAGGTTAGTTCGCTTTGTGCAGTCTAGTTTCTTCAGTTTGCTAATAGTTAGCTAGCCTGTTAGCTTGTTCGTTCATTAAGAACTCAACACTCACCATTCTGAGTTGTTTATCTGGTATTCTGACCCTCTCGGCGAAATGCTTCACGGAGGAGTATTTCCTTCACCTGGGTTTGAAAGGGCTCCCAGACACGAGGTATTGTTTTATAAGTAATATTCAGTAGCTATACGAACTCTCCGAACTGAATTACATGCAGACAGTTGCAAGTCCAAACGTTTACCACACGTGTGCGGGGACGCACATGCGCACTAGTGATACAATCTGAAAACGACAGGAAATACTTTTTTCCTGATGTGATAAAAAACAGATTTACTATCAGAAAGTTTAAATTGAGTTATTTAAATGGTAATGCAGTAAGTCTATGAGTAAATATTGATTGTTTGATTAACTATAACATAAAAAATATAAAAACGGAATACCAGCACTTCCGGTTCCCTAGTCCCGAGGTCTATGGATTTTTGAATGGGCTGTGGTTAACACAAACTGAAGATATCACATTTACATTTTTTCAAAACGTCCATCCTTTATTTAACTTTGCATGTGTCTTTGTAATATACAAACAATTAGACATACTTGTTCATTAAACAAAACAAAAAGTAAAAATTTCCATCAAAACACAGTAAGAATATACATACACATATACATACATATACAAATATACATAAATCTGATAACAAACACAGAATTACACGTAAATGAGAGCTTTATTGGAAATTCGGCTGTATTAAAATACTGTATATTTGAGCACAGAGAGTGGGAGAGAAGCAAGCAGATAAGGGGCTGAAATCGGTTTAGACCTAGACTTGTTAATCATTGTACAAACAGATTTTACGACCATTATTCAATTCTTTGTTACATTTACATTGATATACTGTGTGTATATATATTTGTGTGTTATTAATACTTTTTAAATCTCCGTGTCAGCAGAGGGCGCGCTCTCATTGACTCCGCGGTACTTTTGCGAGAAAGGAACACGCAGTGCATTCTGGGTAGGGCACTTTGAAGCCGGCCATATTGCTTCATCGTCCTGACTGAAGGAGAGAGGGGAGATGAAGGGGATTCGGGGAATAAGTCGGTTGTCGGTAAGGACTCAGAAATCCTATCCTGTGTGTTTATGTGTCGGGACGGTTGTAGACGCAGCGAAAGTCCTTTTCAGTCTGTGGGATTGTGGGACGGTGTAAATATTCAGGGTCGTGTCTGGACAAGCTGCGACGAAGAGCAGAGGAGGAAGCGGCCAGCTGAAGTCTGACATAACTCTGTGTTTAACTGGCAATAAACCGACTTATAACGGTATCATTGATGGTCCAGACGTAATATTTGTGAACTAACATTAAAACCAATTCACTAAACCTAGGGGCTGCTGAACAAGCCACTCAACAAGTGAGAGCTTGTTATATCTTGTTTGTGTAGACTTGATTTAGCGTCATCCCTTTCATATCCCTTTACACATTACTATTTAACTTTAATATTGCGTAGCAGTTAATACTTGCTTTTCATTATACAACTAATCTAACCGTAAAGTTAATAAAGATAATCTCATGGTGGAAGAAAACGTAATCTCAGCACAACACCCAGAGCATTTTTTTTTAGCATTTTGACACAAAATCTTGGTGGTATATTTATTTATTTGATGTTCATCTGTATAACAATTTTATTGGTTCTTAAATATTAGTATAGATCTGAAAAGAAGATTTAACTTAATTTGCATTTGCTGAAAAAGGCCCTAGACAAGAGGTGATATCATAACTTTTAAAAACCACAAGGTCCAAGTGGTACCTGTTCAGGAGCTTTTGGGTTTGTCATATGATCTTCATCATCAGATGGAGTTTGCCTAGTTGTTGTGGAAATACACTGTAGATGATCAAATTTCCATTTCTAAGTACTTAAAGGACGTCTCATCATGGGAAAACTCCCATTTGCTGATGAAGACCAGATGATATAACTGAAAGCTCCAGGACAGAGGAAAAACCTTGTGATGAGATTGGACTGGTCAGGACCAGTTACTAGATCATGAGTTTTATATATAGTCTACTATAAAAATTGTAACAAAATGAAGAGTTGGCTTTGTTTTGTAAATAACAAAAATATTTCGTCATGTCCAGAGGATCTTGAAGCACCGATCCCATCATTTCATAATCCTTCATGTGTCTAAACACTTTTCTTCTCACACTGCCCTTTCACCAGTCAGCAAGCAACACATTAGTTGTAATGTCCCACCTTCCCATGTTCTCTGTTTTCCCAGACGAGGCTTTACGCGGCTCAGGCTGCCCGTAAGGTGGAGTTCAGTGGTGCCGCCGAGCATGTTAAGTTTCAGCCGCAGGATGTGCAGGTCAGTGGTAGTTGACTTGTCTTTCTTCTCCACAGAGACGGTTCTATGCGGCTGCCAGAAAAGGCCAGTCCCTTGCCCAGCCCCTGGCTGGCTCCTACCAGGATGTACATGTATGTTTGGGAATGATGAGGGTCACTGTGCTGGGGTCCTGTGTGGGGTTGGCTCAGACAATGTGGTTTAGAATCTGCGAATGAAACTATGAGTTTGTTATAGAAAACACATTTTGGTTATGCTTTATGGAGTAACTATTTGTCTCTTCCCATATTTTGCTGAATATAAAATGTCAAATCCTTTGAATGTCCAAATGATGTTAGAATATATATTGAGGTTTATTCTGAATTGTACCTATAGTTTTGGTTGGCATGTTTTACTTTAATATCTGTCTGAACTTGATGGAAATGACGAACCTCTGTTCAGGTGACCAAACTGCCAAGTGGACTGGTGATCGCCTCACTTGAGAACTATTCCCCAGCCTCCAAGATCGGGGTGTTCATCAAGGCTGGTTGTCGTTATGAGACCCCTGACAACCAGGGGGTCACCCACCTCCTCCGACTGGCCTCCAACCTGGTATGATCCTTCAATATGGCCTGTTCTCCTGTGTCTTCACACTGTATATCTAGAGCATGAATATTGGCTTCTGTCTCAGCCTGGTGCTGATGTGCATTTTTGTGTTTTCCCAGACAACCAAAGGAGCTTCATCTTTCAAGATATGCCGTGGTGTTGAAGCTGTGGGAGGCAGCCTGAGGTCAGTAACCAAGAAAGATGTGTCATAGCAAAAACCACTGTACACAAGTCTCTGCATTCTTATCAACATATTGTTTCTCTGCAGTGTGACTTCATCCAGAGAGAACATGATCTACACTGTTGACTGCTTGAGAGATGACATGTAAGTCTCTGAATAACACTAATGTTGTATTTATATTACAAGCACATTAGTTATAAATGAACATAGACTTGATAAAAATGTCCCATACTCGTAGTACAGGCAGAGGACATGTTTTGAGTATCAGTACTCATCCCTTGTAGAGTGGAAGGCTGTAAAACATCTGTAATTAACTTCTTCACAAAGAACGGTAGCTGGGGTCCTCTTGAATTGTACAGGCATATTTTGGTGAAACAGTGACGGCTTAGCGCACACTGTCCGTACAAATGTTCAGTTCAGTTCAGGAGAAGTGGATGATTCTGCAGAAATGGTTTGAGTGTCTGTGGATGTAGTGCCGGATAATGGCACAGTCACTTCATATCACTAACATTTTTTTTTTCACTCTTTCTAATTGTTCTGCAGTGACACAGTGATGGAGTATTTGATCAACGTGACGACAGCCCCAGAGTTCCGGCCATGGGAGGTGTCAGACCTTACACCCAGAGTGAAGATGGACAGAGCTCAGGCTGCCCACAGCACTCAGATAGGTAGGGCCTTTATTCCCCTTGCAATGCACTCACAGACTATTAATTTGGCCTGCAAGAATCTGACTTTGGACCTCACCCCAAATACTGCTTTAGATCTATATGTCCACATCGGTTGATTATAGTACTGCTTACCTTTTATTCCCACCTAACATAATAATATTTCAGTTTATGATCATTCCTCTTCTCTCCTTTTCCAGCTTTGGTTGAAGCCCTGCATGGAGCAGCCTACAAGAACGCCCTCTCTAACTCTCTGTACTGCCCCGACCACATGGTTGAAAACATCCGGTCTGAACATGTGAGTACTTTCCCAGTATTTATTCCATTAAGGCTGATGGTGTTAATTTCCATTCAATCCCTTTTTCTAATGTTTGCATTTTCCTCCAGCTGCACCAGTTTGTCCAGAACAATTTCACAAGCGCAAGAATGGCTCTTGTGGGGCTTGGTAAGGAAATCTTTAATGGAAATGGACATTAAAGGAACATACTCTGTATTAAAGATCATTAAGTTTATGGCATTCATCTTTCCTCCAGGTATTGACCACGCTGTGCTGAAGCAAGTAGGAGAGCAATTCCTCAACATCCGCAGTGGAGCAGGCACCACAGGGGCCAAGGCTCAGTATCGTGGAGGTGAGCTGAATAGACGTTAAAAAAAAAAAAAAGAAAAAAAGTGCAGGTTGATTTTAACACTTGAATTGAAGAAAATGAAACTCTGTGTTCCTCCCTGACTCGTCTCCTCTTGCCCCTCTCCAGGTGAGAGCCGTATGGCCAGCACCAGCAGTCTGGTGCACTCAGCGGTGGTGAGCCAGTCAGCAGCAGCGGGCAGCAGCGAGGCTCTGGCCTTCAGTGTGCTGCAGCAAGTACTGGGAGCTGGTCCACATGTCAAGAGGGGATCAAACGTCTCCAACAAACTGGTCCAGGGTGTTGCCAAGGCAACCGCTGACCCCTTTGATGTGAGTGGTTGTCAGTTTGTAAATCTATCTTGTGAAACAGTTTGCACACTAGGGCTTCGCCTGGCTCATTATGACAGGAGAGTGTGTGCATGTTTGTCATGAAAACTCTCCAGCCATTCTACAAATGTGTTTATCATAATTGCAACAGCACCTGTTAAACCTTTTTTTTTCCCCCTCCATTTTCTGAACAGGTCAGTGCTTTCAATACTAGCTACTCTGACTCTGGTCTCTTTGGGGTCTACACCATTTCCCAAGCTGCAGCTGCTGGTGATGTGAGTATCCGACAGTCATGACAGGAGCTTGTTCATCACCACAAACTGCAGTAAAATGTCTTGACGTGACCTCTGTCCTCTGTGCAGGTGATTAGGGCTGCTCTTGCCCAGGTGAAGGCTGTTGCTGATGGTGGAGTCACAGCTGCTGACCTGACTCGGGCCAAGTAAGACATGCAGACAGACTGCTCTCTAACATACAATCTAGATGACCCACACACTGAACAAATATTAAATTTCTATTTGAGTTGACACTAACATTAACAAAATGGGGTTAACAGTAAAAAAAAAAAAAAATGTGGGTCCTTTTCCCCTCCCACTTTATTTACACCCATGTTAAATGTTTCCCTCACCTAGTTTGCACCATTGTGGCTTATGGTGGGTTTGTCTTTGTTTACTGTTCAGGGCCCAGCTGAGGGGACAGTTCCTGATGTCTCTGGAGACCTCAGAGGGTTTTCTGGAGGCACTGGGCACTCAGGCTCTGACTGACGGAACCTACATCTCCCCCGAGGAAATCTCCAAGAACATTGACAATGTCTCCTTGAGCGATGTTGCCAACGTAAGACATTTGGTTCTTGTCAGTGCTTGGTTATTTTATGATGCTAAAAAGGGAATGTAGTTATTTGTTACTGATTTAGATTAATTAATTAATCAGTTAATAATAATAATATGGGTTGATTTATTTTGTTCTTGTAATATAACAATAGATGTGATTTGTGGTTAATAATTGTGTTCTATTATCTATTTTCTTTTTTTATTTCCAGGCTGCCAAGAAATTCATGTCTGGGAAGAAGACTATGGCATCCAGCGGCAACCTCATAAAAACACCCTTCGTGGATGAGATCTAAAGCCCCCCTCATCACGTAGTACTCTTATCTAACTTGACGACAAAGCAAATTTTGTCCCCTTCTACATTTTGACAAAAAACAGAAATAAAGCAGATTTCATCATCACCACATTTTGCAGTGTTGTTCTGAGAGATATAATGTCATAACACCACTGGTTATTTATAGGTGTTGTAACAGAATATTCTTCAGTGATGCTGCTCTGGTGCATCACAATGTTCATCTGTCCACATTAACTGTTTAGCTCATGTAAAATATGAATAAATTCTATCTACCTTATGGAGTTGTATGTGTTTTACTGTTGTGTCTGAATGTAATAAAATATATCAGTTTTAGCTTGTTGGTTCATTTACAACCTTGGAATCAAGCAGCTGACAGAACAGTCTCCATTCAAGGTCCACTTACTCGCTTGTTCTGGAACTTTCAACCAAAATATGAGGAAATAGGAATGAACTGTCAAGGCAACATGGATGGGAAGTCCAAGAAATGTTCAAAAGTCATGGAAATTGTATACATCTAGAGCTCCATTGCATCTGAGAAAACTCAAATGAGGGCCTTGTAATACAATTGAAAGCTCCAGAGAGAGCAAGTAAGTGGACTTTTGAGTTTTAGCTCTTTCATAAAGATGCCACTTTATAGATCTTGACTGTGTGATTGCTCACAGCAACACACTTAAATGATCACCACTTGCATGATTTATGCTGATACCAAAGGTGGCAGGAGCGTCGGCTATTTACGGATTTTCTCGCGAGAGTTGCCTACTACAGACATGGAGACGCGAGCAGACTGGATTTTAGTTTCCATTAGTGGGAGAGGACAGCATCGTCTGGCAGAGACCACAGCCGTTGTGTCTTTACACGGGCTTTAAATCGGTAAAACGGGTGGAGAGTTGAAGCTCTGATGTGAGTCTAGGTGGCGTTTTCCATCTGTGAGCGTCCAGCGGATCGGGAGCTCCGTGTGGACTCAGAAAATAAGTCGACCGCCTGCATGGACATATTTTCACAGCTGGAGAATTGATCAGCGATTAAAGCTCTTTTGTGAATTCTCCACTCATCTCTCTTTTGTTTTTGTTTTTTTTTTAAACCAAATATCACCGGAATTCTGTGGAGCATCCGAGGGGTAGACGATCCATGAACCCGGGCAGCGATCCTCACCTCCCGGGCTGGAGAAGAGCCAGCAGGTCGGTTCAAGATCGGCTGTTTGAGGTTCAATAATAGTGAATATTCCGAGGGAAATCCCTGCCTGTTTTAGCGTGTGGGATTAAACAGGATGTGGGGACAAACAGTGGATCAGACCGACCCCATCACCATCATCGCAGCAACTGTGGCCGGGATGACGGGACATGAGGTGAGGGTTTAAGTTACTGACGTCTAAATGTCCCGGCTCCCGTCACAGAAAGGTGAGATCGAGGCACATAAACACTCAGACCTCCACCTGTGTCCACCGACATGGATAAACTCACCGTGATATCAGGATGCCTCTTCCTCGCTGCAGACATCTTCGCCATCGCCAGCATCGCCAACCCGGACTGGATCAACACTGGAGAATCAGCCGGTAGGTTGTTGTTGGCGCTTTGGTCCAGCACTTGTTTATGTGTAGTGACGGGAACACACTGGGGGTAAAGGAAGACTGAATCTGAAATCTTATATCGAACAAATATCATTGTTTAGACCTTGATTTTTTTTTTTTTTTGCAATTTGACAACATTTCAAAAGTTTAATAATCGCATTTTGAGAAAACCATCAACACAGATTCACGTGGCTCAATTAGAAAATCACATGAAAATCAGTGTCTGAAGTTAGTGAAGTGTTTCAGAGCAGTGATTGTCCAACTTTTTGGTTTGTGACCCTTTTAAAATGAATCGGTGTTATCACAGCTTTTGTGTGGTCAGAGGTTATGAGGAGTGATTTTTCATTCTGGGATTTTTCCTAATGAGGGTGAAAGTATTTCACAAGAAAATGTAACAAAAATTTAACACATTTCCCCAACTTGTTTCTTGAATTCAGCTCCAGCAAAGATCAAGCTAATATAACCAAAGCCCCAAGGTTTAGAAAGGAAAGAAGTAACCAGTTTTGTTGCACAAGTCATTCTCTTCTCTGTGGTATTTTAATGTAACGTGTTCAAATGTCCAGAGGTGCAACAGATCTGGGCTGATGGTGGCAGGTGTTTGATTGCAGACTTTCAGAAGGACTTTCCATACAACTGTGCTGAAATGAACCTTAGTCTTCACGACTGCCTAATAAGTAATATACAGTATGTAGTTGACTTCTAATCATCCCATTACCTGGAAAACAGAGAAGCTTTTACAAAATCAGATTTCTGTAACTTAAACAGCTGCGTGGTCACAAGAAGAACCAGTAAACTGAATAAACAGCCCTGGACCTGTTGTGAGTTGCTCAGTACGCAGCCACTTGTCAACTCACTTTAAAGGCCCCGAAGACTCAATTTCTCAGTCACCTTCTTACTGATTGAAAAAACACCAGCGTCTTCTATGAAAAACATTTTTTTTTTTTTTTTTTATAAAAGTTGAACAGTTTTGGTTATTTTACACTAGATTTATATTTTTGTTTGTGTCTTTGAAGTGAGCGAGACTCAGAAGCCACAAGGTGATGTCAAGTATTTTGTGCACCAATCTGAATTCAGCAACGCTTCAATCATGATATTATTATACTCATGGACAATTAGAAAAAATGATCAGAAGCAAGTTAGCTGAACACACTGTGGTACCTACATTACCCACAATTCAACTTGACCACTGACAGCTTGGTCAAAAGACAAAAGGCTTTATACAACTTTTTTGCCACAAACACAGTATTACTGCCAAACTATTGTAAACAGACTTTGATGTGTAAAATAGGTGGAGTTTCCCTTTAACGCTTAACAAATAACAACTGAGGTTAATTTTATGAACTTTACATTGAATTATCTGAAATTTAGTAAGGAATATTTAATGACATAGAGTTACCCAAGACTTGAAATGATGTTTTCAGTGGCATTTAAATACATTTATTATGCACCACTTGGAAATGATCGTGTCTGAATGGATAATCCTGATTTACAGCTGCTGGTGATTGAATGAACATTGTTTTATAAATATGTGTCATCAGCTGTGGTTGTAGATGAAACTAAATGATTGGTTATTACCAATATGATCATATTACAGCCAGTAATTATCATTAGTGGGAAGCCAAATTTCATTGATTGTACAGTCAGTCCTAGAATTATAGTGTTGAATACAGGTGTTGACCAAATCCCACAATCTTCTGCAGACAGCCCACCTCCCTGGTTTTTGCAGCAGAGTAAGATTCAGATGCAAAGTCCAAAGCTAAACATTGACTAAAACTGATGCAACAGACAAACAGTACCACTACAGTATATGCACAGCTGCCACCTACATACTAATGCTACAGTGGTCAGAGATAAGCACGTAGCAGGCGTACTGAGTGATTATAACAGGATTTAATTTGTTGTGAAAAACACTGGCTGCAGCTGCAAGTCGAGCACATAACAAGCCGTTTTTTGTGGCATAATTAAATCAGTATCCACGGACCAAATTTTTTTTTTATCTCAGTTGTCATAGAACCAAAAATGGACTAAAGTTCAGAACAGCTCACACTCTGAGAGTTTTATTCCTCATAGTAAATAATGGTGTGAAATTACTGTACTTACTGTACTAAAAGCCTGTTGTTCCTGTTTAATTAGCCGGATAGTCATCACCCCAAGGCAGGAAGTGTTGTTGGGGAATGAAGATGTGTGACTTTTAATTAGGCCTCCTGGGAGAGAAATGCTTTCCACCTTGAGAATTCAGACTCTGCAGGCTCAGTCATGACGTATTTTATTTTGGCTGTGATTGCTTAGTTTATATGTAGAATAAATTTCACCCAAACTGTGTCTCTGCACCGAGCCTGAATCAGATAAATCTCTTCAGTTGGCTGTCTAGGTTTTTTTAAACTCCTATATATTACTTTTTATAATATTCATCCACACATCGCTGTTGATTGGTATTGTTTTCATAGTTTTGAGTTAAATTTCTGAACTTTTCAGAGCCTGTTTCCAGAGTCTTATGGCAGTTAAAGACAGGTTTCCTGTTTTCTTCTTTCTCATGTTTACTTGTGGATAGTTTGTGACCAGGCCATAACAACTAGCTAAAACGAAAAGGTCACCTTTTGGTTTTGGTCCCTGGGCTGGATAAATCTGGGTAGAGATGGGAGAGACCAGGACTTCTCAGTCCATTAAAGCACTGAACCATAAATTGATTTAGTGCAGCTGCCCAGTGGCCAGCAGATCAGACTCTGGATGATTGTGTGAATGTGTAACTAACTCACTCAGGATGGATAAAGATTTAAAAATATATAGTATTGTGAATTAAAATGTTGATTTTGGAATAGGTATGGCCATTTTTCCTTCTCCACACGGTTTGAACTGGGTCAGTCCAGTGTGCATCCCATTTCCCTTTTATCCCATTTTAACAAACAATCCACTTATAAGAAATAAATCCATTTCCTAACACCTCTGTTAAATCACAGCAGGACTGTCAGGACTCTCAGGGTCTGTCTTACGATAGACATGTCATATCAAATATTACTTCTTATTTTAAGTTTTATCATTTCACCAGCTCTCTCCCAAATGTCCATGTCCCGTCCATTAATAAACTCTTAGACTGAGTTCTTTCCATACAGTATCCCACACCACCACAGGAAACTGTCCCTGTATAACAGCAATAATACCTGAAGTACAACTACACAAACATATACAGTTGTTCTGGTGCCTGTTAAATGAAATAGTGTAGATTTTCTAAAACAAAGTAAAATATAATACCAGGTTTTTCTTAGTCATTTTTTTATTCTATTAAAATGCATTATACTGATAATCTTTTATAATTTATTAGGACCTCATTTACTTCTTTCACTCTTTCTTCTGCTGCTTCTTCTTGTACTGTCATCGCTCTTAGTAAGTCTTCGTAATCATTGCTCTCTGAATAATTTTTTCATTAGAAACAAAATTCAGTTTCCATAATGGCATGAAGCAGAAACACATTTCAGTTGTTGACTTGCTTGGAGTCCAATATGCAGGGAAATGATTGCACTACTTACATTGTCCCCTGCCCTGTGGTATGAAAGGATGTGTTGAGAGGGAACAGGATATCCTGTGTATAGGGGGTCAGCCTGCTGGAGGATGTGGTTTAGGCCTGATGTTCCCATTAGTCTGGTCTTGATAACAACACCCAGCACTATCCATGATCCATGGTCAGGAATGGGAGCTTTTCCATGAAAACATTAAACATTTAAAGGCTAATTTTATTTCCATGGCATGTCAGATACACGGGGAGAAATATGTTGGAGATGGTGAGGAATGTTTTTAGGATTTTCTCCGGACCCAGAGTCTGTATTCATCACTGAAGGTCTGAAATGATGAAGTACTTTTAATAATTTTAAATTTTACAAGCAGCTTAGTTGACTGGTGGAATGAGCAGGAATAAAACCTAGAAATGTATTTTTGTCAGGTCCAATATTGTTCTCCTATGTCTTTTTACGCATTTTATAGTAAAATACTGAACAGTTAAATGTAGATTGAGGTTTTAATTCAAAAGCGGCTTCTTTTTTTAATTTAATTTAATTTTCCTCCTGATTATAAGATGTTTCAGAGCTTCCCTGTGTTTCTCCTGCACTCTTTGTGATATCAGTTACTTATTTAATTTTTGCCATCATGTCAATTATGTTTTACACTCACTGGGTTTAAATTGCTCTGTATAAATCCATAAAATGCATAAAGTTCCTCTTTCTTCTGTGTCTGCTTGTGAGGCGCTAACTGCTCGTTGGAGATAATTGTGGGAAAGAAAGAAAAAGGAGGGAGACAAAAGAATAAATGAAAGTGTGGGAGGATTTCATTTAGCTTTTTTTTCCTTTGCAGTCAGTCTGGATGCAGAGTTGAGCAGACGCTGTCTCTGTTGGGCTTCAAGTGTGTGTGTGTGTGTGTGTGTGTGTGTGTGTGTGTGTGTTATACATAGAAGCTCTCCTACCTAATATCACAGCACCCACCTGGCTTTGGGACATAGGAGGCCATCAGATGACTTCATTTCTGTCTCAGTCTTCCAGTTTCTCTGTCTGTGATGCCTCAGTGGTTCATACAAGAACCCTGAACCTGATTGACGTCATATGAGAATCCCCGGTGGGGGGGGGGGGCTCTGCTGCCTTTGGGATGCTGCCCATCAGCCTGTTTCCATGTCAACAGGCTCCTCTGCCCCCGGTCACTGTGGGGAAGCAGAGAGACTCCTGGGAGGTCATCATGTCTTACAGCTAGAGTCATCACATGGAATAATTATGTCATATGCTGCTGTGAATTACAGTTTGTTATATGAAGCATGCTACAGGTATGCTATAAGATGCTTTTCATACTTTAATGTGCAGTAGACTGTAGTGTATTATTATTATGAGCCACTCTGTAATTTATCACTGGCTAAAATACCATCTGGAATGATGTGTTAGTTACTGTGGAGCCGGGCTAATGTCTCGTCTTTTACAACCCCTGAAATAATAAATTCAAAGCTCCTGAGAACTTGATTTTAAATCCTGAGTAACACATTAAAGACTAAAGACTAAATAAGCAACAATGAAACTTAAAGTTCAGAAAAATCCTCTGACATTATTTATTAAGAGTCAAGAACTCAGTCTAATCTGCTACATCAGGTCTGTGTGGGTATGGTTTGATCATAGCCCTGGCAACAGATTATAAGACTTTGATTGGTGCACAAAGTGTGTGACATCAGGTTTTTCCAACCCACTTCAAACTAATACGAAAGGCACATACAAAAACAAATATACAGAAATCTGATGAGTAATATAATAATAATTAAAAAAAAACGTTTATAGTTATTAATACACAGGTAAAACATGTTTTTGAATGTTGCCTTTCTGTCTTCAGATTATTCTTAGTGCAGCTTTAAACATTATTTTAAGATTCCAGGACATCTGTTGTTGTTGTTGTTGTTGTTGTTGTGACTTTTACATTTAAGACTCGGGTGCTTATTCAGATGCGAGACCAACATGCTAAATTCTCATAATGTGTAATGAAGTGCATGCCTGAAAGGAGCTATGAAGTTTTTTGTACAGGGGAAAACTCTGTTTTTACTGCAACTGCACCAGTTGGGTACTTGTCCCAAATGATTCACATATCTGCTCTCTTTCAAGTCGGCTACCACAGGAATGTCAGCTGAGGCAGGCAGCGATCTGTTGAAAGCGGTATTGCTATAATCCAACAGGGATTCATGAGTAGCTCCAGTGGACAGGCCTCTGACAAGGTAACCATTGTGCTCAGGCTCAGATAAGCAGGCGCAAAGGAAACCGAGATTTCAGAGGACCCATTTCTCTCAGTCTGCAGAACAGTGTCTGATCCTGACAATGAAGTGTTGTCATGTTTCTGCCGGTGCTCAGCCAGAATCATTATATAACACTGGTTAATCAATATATTCTGTATTTTCCTTACACTTCTTGCGAGCTTGGTTTTCTCTACAATATGTGAACGCAATTTATTTTTTGTTGATGCCACTCGGCTGTGATGAACTGTTCTCTACTATCGGTCTCCTTCCAGGCTCTCTGACTGTGGGTCTGGTCCGGCAGTGCCAGACCATCCACGGTCGAGACCGGATCTGCATCCCACCACAGCTGCCCCCAGAGTGGATCACCACGCTCTTCTTCATCATACTGGGCATCATCTCCCTCACCGTCACCTGCGGTCTACTGGTGATGTCACACTGGCGCCGCGAGGCCACCCGATACGCCCGGTGGATCGCTTTCACAGGGAGTAGGTGTTCACCGTCACCTTTCATCCTCTGTCATTATAACCAGCGGTCTCCAAGATGCGTTCACACACATGCAGGAAATGTTTATTGACGAGCAGGATCGGATTCACAAGTTTCAATCGAGCAATATCACACGAGAGGGAGTGATGTACTGAATATCAGCACGGCTGTGATTAGGTCATAGGTACGAGCAACATCACTCCCTCTCGTGTGATCTCGCTTTTACACAACAGTTCTACGAGCGCCATATTAGTTAAATAAGCAACAAACAGATTATGATTTGTTTGTTAATTTCAATTTGGCAACGCCAACACAAATAGTTCCGCAACTGGACTGGTACTAGACTGTTGCTAAGCAGCACATACACTTTCCTGACCCGCACAGTGCACACTAGCTAGCTACTTTATCTACACGTTACCTCATGTGTGAGCTGAAGTATCCAGGCCTCTTCCCATGATCCTCTTCTGACGACCATACGTCATTTAATTCAAATGTTATTTCTGGAAATATTTTCATCTTTGCAAAGTTTGTTGCAATCTAAGATAGATAACGACCGTTAATGTAACGCTGATTAACGGTTGATAGGGCACCTGTGAAGCGGAGTGATACATGGAGTTAAAAGTCCCAGTGCTGTTGTACTCTAATATCAGCACTCATGGCGCGCCTCTCGTCCAATCAAATTACTTGGTCTGAACTAACTGTTGTATAAATTTGAATATATAATAAATATAAATATAAATGCACCTCAATGTCCAGCAGTATCCGTCCACACTAAATATGGACATTTCTCTTTTCACAAATTACACTGAAGGATTGAGGACAAGCTTAACAGCAATAGCAGTCTTTTAAACATCAAATTTTCTGCATTAGAAGACATTTTTAGCTGTAAAGTACCACACCAAGGATAGAAAATAACAGCATCTCAAAGCAAAACTGCCCATTATTGTTTATAAAATGCCTGTGAAAGTGAGAAGCAGCTTAAAAATCTCTTGTGAAAGAAACAGAGCCCACCTTGACTCCAGGACTCTGCATTTCTTTTCCTGGAGGCTTTTAGTCAGGTAGTTATGAACATCTTGACAAAGTGACTGCAGAGGAGCTCTAATTGATGGGGTGGTTTCTATTTTTAGGGAAAGGAGACAAAATTGCTCTGTATAAGAGAGGAGAGAGAAAGTAGGAGCTGGGCCTCACACGGCCTTATACACGGAAGAATATGAAGCTCGTTCTCATGAATAGACCATCAATACCAGGGGCAGCTTTTTAGTTCCAAGGACATTTATGAAATCTTGAAAACTTGGTAGACTCAACAGATTACGAACATGTGGAAACCAGGAAACCAAATATTTAATGTTAAAACAAGGGTTGAGCTGTTAGAGCAGACAGACCCCCACAGCCATGTCAGATGAACCTAACACCCCTTCACTGATACTGCCATTTATTTCAACCATTTATCCATCATTTTGAGCTACTTCACCATTTATCTCACCATTTAACTAGTCATTTTTATCATTTATCTAATACCTTTGGTTATTTCACCATTCATGCAGTACTTTTGTGACCACCCCCTGGTTGGCAGTAGCTGCTCTAGAGAGTATGTTAATGCTCTTTCTCTCTCCTGTTTCTCCTCTGTCACAGTGGTCCTGTTCTGTATGGCGGCTCTCATATTCCCAATCGGCTTCTACATCAGCGAGGTTGGTGGTCAGCCATATAAGCTGCCCAACAACACCGTGGTGGGCTCCTCCTACGTACTCTTCGTTCTGTCCATATTCTTCACCATCGTGGGTCTGCTGTTCGCTGGGAAGGTGTGCTTGCCTGGCTGATATAACCCCCTTCCTCTTTTGTTTTTTTGTTTTTGTTTTTGTACCTTTGGAGAAACACCACCACTGGAGATAAATTTCATTAGAACTGACTTCTCCGCGGCAGTGCAGGAAGTATCGCTGATGTACAACAAAACTGAGAGGCGTCTGACTGTGTTTTTCCTCTTGGATGAATCGTCGCGATGCTTGTAACTGGAGCTGGAATAGGTGCGACCCAGAGAAAGAGCAGGCGCAGAGAGCCCATCTTCATCCGTCCTGAACAATAAGCGAGAAGTGGTGAACAGTCAGGGGAATATTAAAAAACTACCTGATGAAAACGGATTAAAACATCAGGACTTTTAAGGGAGCTCTGTGGTATTATCCGTCATTTTAAGAATCAATGATAGGTGATGAATAAGCCCTGCTCTTCTCATCCCACCCACTGAGGTGTGCATATTGAGATGAGACTGATTAGTCAGGCCTGACACTGGCCAAAGTGCCAAATATCAGCCAGTCACCTCCATTATGATGGAGGTTTCTCCCTGACCACAGCTACATGGAACAATCTGTAATATATACGATGACGTTTCATTTGGTTGGCACAATTTATTTATTTGTTTAATTGTTCAGTTACGTCTTTTGTAAAGGTATCTTTTATTTGGTGGATCACCTTGCCTTAAAGAGCTGTTAACCTTAAAACAATGTTGTTGAGGTTGTCATGGGATCAAATCTAAAATTCTGGACGCGTGGAACTAGAATATAAAATGGGCTGTCACAACAACTGGTGCTGCATCATTCTGAAACTTGTCGACTGAAGCTTCAGCAGTTAGGATCAGTGGTGAGCACCAGAGAAAGACTGACATCAGCAGGTCTCTGTTACAGCTTTGCTATTTTTAGTGATGTAGTGAATGTATTATTCACCTTTTTGAGCGTTTCCTGTTGTTTAAACACTGTATCAAGAAATGACTGAATCTATGACTAGTTTGTTTTATACAGTTGGTACGTTGATGCCCACTTCATAAGAACAGTCAGCCAGTCTGTGCCATTTTCTAGAAGCACTGTGATGTTCGTGAATGAGCATGGAAGATCTCATCTCATTAAAAATGATGCATTAAAACACTGATTGTCTCACCAATTTATTTTAGCAATGCATTTGTCTTTGAAGCTCATAATGCTGTAATCATTTACTATGCAAAGAAGAGATGAGGATTCAGGAACTTTATTATAATTGTGCAAGCACAATAACATTGCAATTACGTCAACCTCAAATGATGCATTTCTATCTAAGACACACATATTTACAAAGAATAAATAAGACAGAGATGAGAGAGAGAGAAAGAAATATCAGTGATAAAGACAGAATCTAAGCAATAAAAGTACAAAATATAAGCAATGTGAAGTGTAAGATACAATTAACAATAAAAATTAAATACAACTAGGGTGCATGTGTAAGCATTCAGCAGCAGAAATGCAGTACAAGGTGCAGTGTGACAGATATGGAGTGATGGTTTATAATGGAGGGTTTTGAGCCAGAAGGACAGACACAGGGAATCAAGAGTAAGAAGACAAAGACGGAGATATTTGCACTGTTTGATAACAACAAACTTTTCATTGTTGGAGCTAAAAAAAAAAAAAAGAAAGAAAAGAAAACTGCACAGGATGTTTAGGTTGCCATAGGAACGTCTTTGATAAAAATTGAGTGATGTGTGCTTGTGTTTTTCTCAAAAGACGCAGCAAGCCGTGGGTGACAGCAGCAGGAATCCAGTTGTGTGTTTAAGCTCACGCCTTACTCTTTCCACTGCGGCTACTAAAAGTCAAGTATCCAAACTGCCTTTGAATCAAATCTCCATGTCACAAGTGCTGCTATTTTAAGCCCTGAAAATATGTTGGTCGAAGTTTATCTATGCTGCACTTTTTCTTTTTTTTTTTTTCTCAAATATTTTCATGGCAACAAAGTAGGAGGAGAGAAAGATTTTAATTCTGGTATCACAAAGTGAGTAGCTTCTCACCATTCGACTTAAATAACCAACAGTGACTTAAACCAGAGGTCACTAATAGGCGGCCCGGAGCCTACTTAGTGACTGGCGTAGCTTTTCTAGCCTTTAACGCATGTGATGCTACTCAGCCAATCATTTCAAAGTGAGTCAGTGAGTTGAGATACACACAGACAAGGATATATGATACATATTTATATATCCTTGTCTCTCTGCTAATTTCCCTTAAAATTAGTAAAGAACATATGATAATTATAGATGTTATTATTTTTCATCTGTATGAGAAATGAACCTTCTGATTAAATGGATAAAGTAACTGGTGTGTATCATATTCAGAGTACTGAAGCAACATAGTAAACTGTTAGGACTTAGAGACTAAAGTGGCAAGATCAATGGCCTCAAAATACACACAAGTAATTTGCTGCAGTAGTGTAACATTTTTAAGCTGCCGTCACATGGAACAAACATTTCTTACACATTTTCAATAGAAAAACATGGAGCTAACATGGCACAATGATATATACAACACTTTGTTGCGTTCTAACACTGTAAACATTCAAAACAAAGAAATACACCCTACATCAAATTAATCTGCATGATTAAAAATACAGACACACTGTGCATGTGAAATATACTGAGAATAATAATGCATCTGTACACTTAATGTAACATGAAATGATGCTGAAATATAAGTTTGTCTGTTTAGTTTCGCACGGATTAAATTACTGGAGTGACGGTCAGCACGGCTGTGGACAGTGAATACAGGGAGCCACTTCACTTCTCAACACAAGAGGGCGGAATTGGCGTAATTCAACTCAAGAGCCCAAAACCTCACTCCTCTAGTTCACCTGAACGTCACTCTCCAGTCTGAAGCAGATATAAAGACATTAAACTTCTAACACATGCTTATAAAATGATCCAAATCATCTTAAATCCAACGTTTGTATTTTCTCAACGCCTTAATATTGTTTCTTACCTTGTTCTAAAGCAGAACCACATGGCAGCAACACACCTGACTGTTCTTTCTCCCTCGCTCATATACAGCTCAGTATAGTTCAGAGTCCGTCCTGAATGTGTGGGACCCACTGTGAAGGCTTGTGTCAGGCCATGGAGGGACTGCTGTGCTGCCGCTTGACCATCTTTGCCGCCACGAGCAGCAGGACGCTGGTGAGGAGCTCCAGGCCGTAGGAGAGCCAGGCCATGCCCAGAGACCAGCCGAAGGAGGTGTGAACGTGGGCGAGGCCTTCGGGCCCCACCAGCCTCTCTGTCTCTACCAGGGCCTGGTATGAGTAGATGATGTAGAGGCTCACGCCACACAGGGTCAGCAGACCTGGAGAGAGGGATGCATTACACACACATACACAGAGCTCATCAATAACACCAATAACATCAAACCATTAGCTACCCAAAATCTCATATTGTGAGACACAGGAAATACATTGACGCATGTATTGTCCTCTTACACAACATCCAGGCCAACAGAGAATAGACTGAGACAGACACACACCCACACAGGCCTCACAAGTTTCAGTGTGTTGCTATTGGAAACCTCTCTTAATTTTGACAGCTTGTGACTTGTTTTAAGGGGATGCAAGTGGAGCGCAGAGGCTACACAAGGCGGGACTAATAATCATTTTATTGCAATTACACCCTGGGGTGCTACGAGTTCGGAGAATGATGAGGTAGCTGATGTCTGGTGTCTCATCTTTATGCGGTTCGCTGTGGAGGGCAGAGAGGCAGCGAAACAGGGAAAAAAACTGAAACTGCCTCATATACTGTACATGCAGAAGGGACTACTGCTGCTCGAGCTGAAACAACTTGCTGTTTATTCCATTTTCATTCATTTAACTTGGATAATTGTTTAAGCCACCCAAAAAAAATCAATGGTACCAGCTTCTTGAATGCGAGGATTTATTTCCCTGTGAAAATTTCCCTATGACAAAAAGATCAATATTTATATTTCAGACAGTCAAGCAAACAAGAAAGACGTCAGCTTCTGGCCTTTTTGGCTCTACATATGGAAATGATAATAAGTTGAACTGTTCATTATTTTGTACCTGAAATACGTTAACAGCTGTTGCCATGAAATTTGGTACTTTAGACTTTCATGTTCCCCACGCAACACAACCCTCTGGTGATCTCCTGCCTTTTCATCAAGTCAAAATTCAAATTAATTGGATTCTGTTTATGACTAAATACCCGCAAACCTAATTAAGTTCCCATCAGTCTTGGCTGTACTTGGTGCTAATTAGCAAATGGTAGGATGCTAACATGCTAAAGTTAGATAGTGAACATGGTAAACGTTATACCTGCTGAACATTAGCACACGTTAGCATGCTAGTGTGGCTGTAGACTCAGTTTTCTTCATGGTTTTCTGATATTTCATAGATCAAATAATTAATCGTTACTGTCGTCATAACTACTAATTCTACTAATTCTACTATCTACTACTACCACTAATTCAAAAACTACAACTAAAACAACTAATACTTCAACTTACATTTTGACAGTCTGTTTTTACTCCTTGTTCTCCTGGTGCTTTTGCTGTAATTAGTCACATTATGTTTTTCTTACTTTCAGGCACTGGAATACTGACGAGAACAGCAATAATATCAATTACGTACATCATTTACACAATATAGATGACATCACATTATGTATTTCTGCCTTTGTCATAAACATGGATTGGTTTTCAACTGGGACTTAGTGAATGATCTCATTTGAGAGGAAAGCTTCCTCAGAATATCCGTTACACTGAAAATGAAGAAGAAGGGAGGCGATGGAACAGCCCTGCAGGGAGCGCACACAGACACTCATTGGGCTGTTTAATGGTTGGTGAGAAAAGTCATTGCAACATTAGAACAAAGACAGAACAAAGCAATTAACGGAGAATTCAAGTTAGCAGTTGTGTGCGCGTGTCTGTGTATATGCACACATATGTATACGTGTGTGTGTTTGTTTGTTTGTTTCCCAATCACACTTTGTGTGAGGGTGCTAACACACAATTTCCAGTTTGTGTTGGGGTTATAAGATAATACACAATGACTGAAGATGCACTCTGAACAGCTGAGGGCAACGGGGACAAAATCTGGGGGACAACAAAGACACCAACTAGAGAGGAATGCCTTGCTCGGAGTGAGGGTGGGATATTTTAAAAGTCAGACAGTCAACAAGTTCACAAGATGACTCCAATCTAATTCAAACCTTTATTCTATTCCACACATTACCATGTGCTACTTATTACTGGGAAACTATAAAGAGTCTTTTTAAATAAGTGTTTATCTATCACAAGGTCCTCTTTATGGAGGTCATAAGGCGTTGGCAGGAGAGCGCCCAACAGATCCAGAAGGAAGAGCTCTGCCAGATGCTCAGGCGCTACGTTTACGACGGACGAATAACTTGATTACTGTAAATATCCAGATTAACATAATAGCGTTGACATGGTTAGCGGTAATCTAACTCTCCCAGTAACCCAAATTTACATGATATCCCAGATAGTAAAATAATTATCGGGTCGGGTGTGTGGCAGATTAGCTGGAGCAGGAGCATCATAGGAAAAAGAGAGGTGTGTTTACTCTTATTCTTGTTGGTATAAATACACTCGCCATATTAGCACAAGCACATGCAGTTTTAGCTGTGACACAAACAACATTTTTTTTTTGTTGCAAAAAGCAAGTGCCAGTTGTCTGTAACTAGGGTCTGCCATTTTTGTTTTCCAAACACACATCTTATTACATTTATTTTGTGACACAGATTCAAAAACACACAGCTAAAAGAAACAAGATTCTGGTGTGTAAACAGCTAATTTAATTTGAAAGACTGACAATTAATTCAGCTCTGTTAACTACATTCTGCTTGCTCCGATTATGACCTTAAGTTGGATCAGATAATCGTGTTAACGTGTTACATGGCAGCTGCAATATTTGGACTGTTGTCTTAACCTTGTTAGGCAGAGGACACACAGCTTTTTTTTGTCGCAAGTTAGCAACATTTTCTGTCAGCTCTTTTAAATTTCTGGGGTTTTAATGGATGCTGGTTCCCTCAGCTTCAGGCCAAAGGTAGGGAGTCAGTGTGATAAGTGCTGAGGTGGGAACTCATGCATTTGAATCATGAAAGATTGTAAGAAGTCACATCATTTTATATGTTTTACTGTGAGAAGCAGTAAAATATTGGTTAGTTGAGAATTTGCACTGACAACTACTAAATATACAGTCTAAAAGCCTATCAGATTTTCCTATCAGGGATTTCTCGGAGATGAATCAGTCAGCTCTACGGTCTCCTGTGGTGTGGTGGCTGCTTTTATGAAATGACAGCAACAACAGACTATTCACTAATGGATATAATGTTTAATGAACAGTCTTTAACATTATCATTAGGGAAGTCAACTTTAATGTCATCCTTTGGTTTTAGTGTCACAGCATCGTTTCAGTATTAAATTATAATTTCATGTTTTTAAAGACTTCTGTTGCAAAAAAGTAGATTCCAAACAAATTATATTAAACAATAACAAAAGTATTTGAGCAATTTTGACTGATGTAACACACAACACTTGGACAGACTCTACTGTAATGAACATCAGTGTTATCATTTAATGTGTAATTTTGCCCGATTGTGATGATTATTTTTCTTTAATCTTCTAAAAGACACACGGTCTCTTGTCTGTTTAGTTCTCCTGTATATATTCTATATTCTACATCTAAAATCCTTCTTCCACTTCTCCTCATCTGTCCCGAACACTGTGAAATTACAGTCAGTATGAAAAGTATACAGAAGCTTAGACAGACGCAAATTTGGTTTGCAGTTGTTTCCAAAGCAATTTTGCTTCACTGTTGTGCCTCCCCACAGACCAATAAAAGCTCTCATAACCCATCTGACTGAGTACAGGATGAGGCACTTCTGATGTAACAGAAGCAAGAGCAGCTAGACACACACACACACACACACACACACACACACACACACACACACACACACACACACACACACACACACACACACACACACACACACCTGACCGTTCATGCATACTTAACCAATATGGCCAAGTCAAACAGACAGTCTTGGATGTTAATAAACTTCAGTCCCTTCGGCCACATGAGGTCAGTAACTATAACTGAGGTCAATTTCAGCCCGGCACATAAAGCGTTCCCGTCTGCTCGCGTTAACCACATGGCCTTGCTTTACTGCCGCACTCCTGCCATACATAAAGTCCACCACCTCCTCTATAACTTTCTAGTGTTTTACACTTTCTTCTGTAATATAATAAATGTATTAAAGATTTTAGATCATTCTGCTTTCGTGTTTTTGATCTGAACAACTAAAACATCAAATGAAAACTTCACTATATATATCTGTGTTGCAATGACCATATTATTTGACTTTGTGTGTTTTTGTGTGATCAAATCAAACCTTAAGAGTAATAGTTTTCATTGTATCTAAATATTTCAAAGCAGTGGGAGTAATTTTCTATCTACAGGCAGCGCTGCCACTAAACCTGTGATAAAATGTGGTTTACAATGTGAAACTGCAGAGACTGAGTTTACACGGATCCTGTTCATTGTTCCACTCAGTCATTTGACTGAAATGATCATGAACGTGTGTCGGGGCGATTGACTTTTCTTTCATTTCTATCACCACCCAACGGCTTTTGTTTAATTTAACGTTGAGGTAAATGATGCACAGCAGAACCGTGTGGGTGCAGATCTCTCTTACCACAACTACTACTTGCTGTGATTTATTCTGTCATCTTTATCAACACTATCTCTCTTACAACTTAGTGAGAATAACAGGCACAGACTACTGCGTAGACAGAGACTCCCTACTCTATCTTTTTAAGCTCTTTTATGTGTGTATTATCAGTAGGTGCACTAGTAGTACTGACTGTTCTTGGTGCATGAGTAACACTAGCTTCTGTTTTAATTAATCGGTCTTTAAAAGCTGGTAAAATACCTCAGACTGTACACAAACAACCTCTACAACTAAATGTTTTCCATTTTCCTACACAGTAATTGCCCCATACCGTTGCTGTCGCCACCTGTAACACACACTGAGGTGAAACAGCTGGTACTCTCTTCAGCTGAAAGTGGATACGGTGACAACTGACCACAGAGTGAAGGAACTGAAGTTGAACTTACTGCAGATGAAGAAGTAGGAGGCCGTGCTGGTGAGGAGGACGGGGCTCCGAGCCAGGGAGCTGACCAACCCGCAGATGCCACCGAACAGCAAGAGGACCAGGCTGAGGGGAAGCACCACCACTATAGCACTGTGCATGTCTGTGAACACACACACACACACACATACACACTGATGGATTATAGAGCATCTGTGGAGTTATGGCTGTCTTGACAATGAAACTTCATTAGCAGAATATGTGTTGTTGATGAGCGCAGGGTTTCATTAAAGCTGGAAGAGGAGACTTACTCAGCATGTGCACCTCAGTCTCAGTGTACCTGGAGTAGTCAGCTTTGAAAGAGTCAATAGAGGCTGCGTGCATCTTCCCACCTGGATGTTACAATTAAAACAACAAAGCAAAACAACTAAGTTATCTCCTACATATTTGCAATTTCACTCCATCACTAGTTGTCTCATAAAAAAAAAAAAAAACAGCAAACTGCAAAGACAATGAAATCTCAGTCATGACATAAAGTTATGGAAAAGTAGTCGCCTACCTTCGTTGATAGTCCACAGCCCCGAGTGGGAGCTCATGTCCTCGAAGTCGCTCGTGTTCACAGGATTCATCTTTATGATGTACCAATAGTCGGTTCCGAGGGAAGTCGCCAGAAAAGCGAAGCTCAGAATACCACAGATGCCGGCGATGATCACCAGAGAACCAAAGGTCACCTTCATCCTGCACAGGAGAAGGTTTAATTCACGCATAACGGTGGTGGGTTTAACTGTGGCGGTGGTCCGGTCTCTCCACAGTTTACGCGCTCATTGCTGGATGTGACAGAAATAACCCACAGCGAGCTCGTCTGTGCCAAAACCGCTTTTGAGCTTTTCCCAAAGCTTTCCTGTCCAGGTAGTGGTTATGATCTATAGGATGGAGATGGAGATTTACTGGAGTCACGGAGCAGCACGAGGATGTCAACGGTCTGAGTGAACAGAAGCAGCTTCTGTCTGGGAGGGACTTCAATTTATCCTGGAGGAGCGCGCGTCGACGCAACACATCACAGGGAATATGAGGGGACAGAGTAACGATGGCAATTTACGTCCCTCATTTCTTATACTAGTGGGGAAGATAAGCTTATATTTACGTATTGTGCATTTTATAACTAAAGTATTGAACTTTCTCTAGTGTTTCCATTTTCGGACGTGGAGGCATTTCAGATGTGATCTCTGGGGCAGAGGGCGAACAGATTTCAGCCTCTCAAATTTGAATTCTTTTCACTTTTCCGCAGGCATAAACGCGGTATCTGTCAAATATATATTTATTTTTATACTCCGATTACACAGAACTGCTGTAAACTGTCTTCATAAAGTAAGACATGAGTCGCAGCTCTGTGAGGCTTCTGCAGGGATGGTCCACAGTGGGTTCCACCCCGTTGCTTTCTTCGCCCAGCCCCAATCAGAAGGGCTTGGCCATGGCCAAACGGGTCCTCTAAGGCCAATAAAAATCTTTATTAGACCAAAGATGCATTTTTTTCGCAAATGTATACATGATTATAACGAGGGGGCAAAAACTGGAAAAATGCTTTGCTGAGGTCAGTGACCTCTGGAGGGGCACCAGAGGTCAAATATAAATTTCTTCCATGCGTTAATGATAAAATGCAGTTAGTTTGCCTTTCTGCTCAACTTTCTGAGCAAGAGGAGAATAAAGGCATACTACTGGATATCATAGTCTTCTCTTGCCGGTATTTCAGACTCATCTTGACGTTACACCATGGTACATTTCCAATCAGAGTACACACCTCCTAAAAAATGATCATACCATACAGGGTAACCAAAAGGAAAGTTTAATGAGTTAAAACCGACCACATGAAAACAGACAACATTAAAAAATGACAGATATATTGCAAAGACGACATGAAAGAATATGAAGGAAACATGGAAAGGAGTTCAGTGAGGAACCAGTCAGTCACTTGCCAACTACAATTAATCTCTCACACGCCCCCCATTTGATTCATCTGCAGACATTCAGCGTCACTCTTCCCCCATTGCTGTCTTGATGATATCTGCTCTTCTCAGTTTGGCTGCCTCTTCAAACTTGGTGACGGCATCGTTACAGGATTTGTTCTGCAATCAGGAATAATGACATGGTGTCATTTTTTCACAGGAACTTACTGTCATTTTGTAGATGTTAATCTTGCTGTGCAATTAGTTCACTTGCCTGACATGCGCACAGAGCAAAAAGATAAAAATATAACAGAAAAGATTAGAATAAAGAATAAAATGTGTAAACAGTTACATACTTCTATGTGACTTGTACAGTGGATTCACTACGTATTATGTAAGTTAGTAATTTGAAAATTATGGAGTCCTCTGAAGAACATACAATGATGGACTTGTGCCTCTCCTTCTGGAGTTTGAAGAATTCCTCCACAGTCAGCTCCTCTACTTTCTTCTTCAGGCTAATGAAGTGGCAGGATGATGAATGAGATTTGTGCTCCTTTCTGGAAACAAAGACAAAGACAGCGATGAAGAGGTAAACATGAATGGGGAGACAAATAGTTAATTGTGCACACAAACATATGGAGGTAATATACATTGTACCATGTAAAATGGACATGAGAATGACTGCACTGGGAATATGGATGTGGAAAACACTGGTACAGAATATTTCAGCAAAGTTTCAGATGCCAACTGTGGCCCTGAGTTTTTCAATACAGTTCTGCCTGCCATAGAGAAAACACTAAATAATACACACTATTATGTGAAGTTTAACAGTGTCACAGTAATTCAAACAGTCTCATTTTAATGACCATGAATATAAAGCATATATTTACAGAGCTAAAAAGAGTTCAGATAGTTGATGCCTGAAGTGCTGTTGTATCAGTCGCAAACACTGCAAAAATTATGTAACAGACAGAAGGTAAGTGGAAAATTTCACTTGAACAGTGTGGAGCTCTGGTCACAAATGAACTCTCTCACACCAAGTAAAAGACACTTTTGGGTTTTGGGTTATATGTGCTTGACAACATTTATAGCCTTGAAATTTTGTGCTGAGAGTCAACAGCTCTTAGTCTATTCTAATTCAGCCCACTGGCCTTTAAAGCTGTTTAAAACTGTAGAGTGCTTTGATTATTGTGTCGACTAGTTGTATCACCACATATCCCACATGGGAAGATTTTAGTTAGCCAGCCAAAGAGGGGAAAATGAAACTTAAAAGAGGTATTTAGCTTTTTCAAAATGTGTTTCTGTGGATCACTTTGTTCACTGATTTCATACATTAAAGATCAGTTTATTAGTCACATGGAGTAAAACTCAGGCAGAAAAAAACTTCTCAAGATTTCTGAAGTCTGAGAAAATGATCTGGATGATATTTTGGAGACTTTTTTAATTATGAGCCAGTGTTTTTCCAGCTTGACTCATAAAAAATGTAATCTCCTGTCCTTTTATTTGCCTCGCTGAGACATGATGTGGTTATCTTACTCTGGATCGTCCTCCGGCTCCCAGCCCTCCAGCTCTTTGAGGCAGAAGAAACACATGGCGATGTCCGGGCTGTTCTCTGAAGGGGTGTGAATGAAGCCAGCTTTGGCCATCTGGAGGAACAAGTGAACATTTGTTTAACATGAGATTTTTTGTTTCTGTCAATTGATTATAAAAGTTGACACACAGAAAAGTAATCAACAACTTTACCGTACAATAAATCTTTCACAGTCAGTTCAAAGAAAATTAATCGTCGACTATTTTGATACCAATCATTTTCCACATAAAAACCCAAAATATTTTCTTCTTCCAGCTTTTCAAATGTGAGCAATTGCTACTGTTCTCCATTTTATGTCATTGTAAATTTGGTATCTTTGGGTTTAGAGACTGTTAGTCAGACAAAACAAGCGATATGAAGAAGTCACATCAGCCCCTAGAAATCTCTGGCCTTTTTCACCATTTTCTTCGACTGTATAGACTAAATGGTTAATTGAGTAACTGAAAACATGACAGAGAAATCAGTGCAGCTGTAGTTATATTATAATGAAACTAAACTACCTAAACCAGTGGCACCTAGTTTAATCAAATCATGTGCCTGAACTCCAAGGTATACAGGTATTCATTCTTTTTTAAAAAAAATCTGCAGATTTGACAACTGTGATAAAACCACGCTGTAAAATAAATATTTTGTGATATCTGTGAATTTTTCTTCACAAACTACTGTAAACTTTACAAATCTTGTTGCAAATAGGACTGTATTCGGTTGACTTTTACACAGTACCTAGAAATATCTCAGATACAATATAAGAATTGAGGAAACCGTCAATATAGTGTATGATTGTGACATATAGTGTATGGTTTAAGGTTCCTGTCATCATCCACTACCCTATATTTCACTGTTTTAACTTGCTATTTTTACTACATGCACTTACAGCTGGAAACTTGATATAAAATCAGTCAAAAACCACTCACAAGTAAACATCTATATATTGTTATTTTCCCAAATTTTCTACAGGATTCTGCTGCTGCTGTTGTTGTTGTTGTTATGTGTTTTTAACAATATACAGCTATAGCACTTTGCTAGCTGACTTCAAACTACAGCAGCCTTGAAGCTAACCTAACTCACAACTTTAATCTAATCTTTATACTTCCGTGACAAAGCTACGATAAAATGCAAGAGCGAGCGTGTGTTGGCGATAAACCCACAGCATTTCATTTGAATATTAGTGGTTTTCTTACTTCGGAGCTAATTGTTGTTGTGTTAGCTGGCTAGTGGAAAGGCGTCGCTAGCCACGGGAAAAGTCAACCGTTTCTAACGTTTACTCACGTTCTCCGGGGTGCACATGCAGTCCTCGTCGAATGGCCACCCCTCGAAAGTTTTAAGTCTGTTCTCATAAAAATACATCGTGATATCCTCTTTAGCGAACGGTTCCATTGTGTTTAGCGTTAAAGTATTTGTCTGTGACTAGTGCAAATCTGTGTCACCACCTAAAGTCACCGGGCTACAGGGCGCTTTCAAATTTCGGCCAATGTTCACTGCGGCTGTTTTGATTGGCGGACGGAGACTAACTCTTCTTCGTGGGTGATTTGACAATAGGAAAGTTCAGAAGTACGCCATCTAGTGTTCTTGACTGAGCACACTAATGGCGCCAAATACGACTAAACGACAAACACATCTTCTATCAGATTGTATTTTAAAGAAGACAGAAGACACCCTCTATCGTCTTACTCGAGCCCATAATTTGAACGTGGCAGTATTGTTGAGTATTAAATCCACATCCGGCGCCGAACCCCACGCTTCCGGATCAGGATTACCTAGTTCAGATTTGCCAACAACTTCAACGTTTGTTACACCTGACTCTGCTAAGTGTAACAGTGTGCCTACTTAACGTTACACATGTGGACGCTGGCTGCTTCTTCCTCGGTGTTGTGGTTATGGAAGGACGCTGTGTTGTTGAGACTTGGACAGAGTTTGGTTTTTCAGGCTCATCATGCACACCGAAGATCAAGTTTGGTTTAGAGACGGAAGTTTTCCTCTGCACTGTCAGCGACGAGGTGTATGTCTTCAGTACACAAGAGAGAAAACTCACGGCAAGTAAACTCCAGAGCACTGTTTTACACAGATCCACTGGACTAGAGTCAGGTGTTAAAGATACATGCTCACATTTTCTATTCTTCAGTCTGATATGTTGTTTTGTTGCAGGCTGTCCTCCAGTTTCCTGGTCCTGTGAGTGACCTGGTTGAGAGTCATGACAGACAGCTCCTCTATGTGTCCTGTACCAGTGGAGTTTACTGTGTCAGCTTGCCACTTCTGCTGTCCAGGTATGTACATTGATATGCAAAGTCCAAAATTAATGTATTCACAATAGTGCTAGTTCATGAATGTCTCACATCTTTCACCTCTGCAGGGCTCCAAGCTCCCCAGCTGATGCATCGTCTTGTCCAGCTGAGCTGAAGATCTCCTCTGAATCCCTTGTTGTAGGAGAAGAAGGTGTGTTATCGCTGCTCCTCGTCGGCTCTTTCCTCCTGATCCTATCCCAGAGAGACGCGTCCTGGCTCCTGAGTCTGTACAAAACCCCAAAACAAGCACAGTCCAGCAGCTGTGAGATGCTCAGTTCATTCAGTCTACCACTGGTCTCAGCTGTTGTACATGGTGACACTGAGGGAAATACAGGAGTGGGAAGGAGGCCTGTGCTGATTTGTGTCCATTCTGGTGATGCAAAATCAACATCATCCTTAGCGGACAGTCATTTCCTCCTCGATCCTGTCCTCTTCAAACTTCTGTTTGGGATCGATGCTGCCCTCGCAAAATTACCGGTTATCCTTTGTGGCCTGCCAGATGGACGCCTGTGTTTCCTCCCTCTGCGTCTTCCAGGATCACGGCTCCGAGTCATGCATAGCCTTGAGCAGCCAGTCGTATTTGTTGGAGCGTCTGTTGTCATGGAAACGGGTCCAGGACATGCAAAGTGTTTGGTGGCAGTGGGCGAACAAGGGAGAGTGGTGCTAATGAAGACTGACAAGGGTGGCCCAGAGGGAGGGGGCAACACAGTTGGTTTTATCGAGGGGTGTGTACCGGGGCCTGTGGTGTGTGGCCTTGTGGATAAACACCATCTCTACTACAGCACTGGTTCAGACCTTATGGTGCTGGATCTATCAGAGGGATCGTCTGGGAGAAAAGACCAGGAAAGGGATGAGGAGACGTCCAGTAAGACGGCTGCTGCCCTCCAAAGTCCCACCAGTTTAAATGTGTGTAGAGTCATCGCCTTGGCTGCACCTGCACACAACACTGCAGGTGAGTCGGTCCTGACACAAAAAGTCTTTAATTTATAAATGCCGTTGCTTTTAATCCATACCACCACACTATAAAAGTGAACTTTGTTGAACAGTTGTGTGAGTTAAAAAAATAGATATGGGTCGGTGTGATAAAGCAGTTGCAAACAGTGACTATTTTGAAAAATTTCTTACTAAGTCTGTCCAAGTGCGTCTTGAGTCAGCTGCTGAACAGCAACCAACTTATTTAAAGCAGAAATTCAACAAATCACATTATCCTCTTCACACTGGCTCCTGTGACTTTGACAGAAAAGAAATAAGAAAATAAATGTGATTAAATGTTGAATGCTTTTAATTAGTGTCTTCCTGAACTAAATTAATTAATTTGGAAAAAGTGCACAAGTTGTAAAGTGGATGTTTCTCATACACAACTATGTGTGGTTATAAATGTGTGTTGCTCTGTATTCTGTGTGTGAAACGTTCTTCAACCTCAGTGGCAGTTAAGTTCTGCACTGATGTAACGAGGCCGACTTGTTTGTTTCTGTCTCAGTGTCTTATCTGGTTGTGCATGTCTCTGTGTGTTGTCTCTGTTTAACTTGTGTCTCACATCTCTAAAGATCAAACAATTTCCTTTTTCCTATCTTTGTAAATTTGTGTGTTATACCAGGAGAAGTTCAGCTGCTGGGGCTGTCAGTCAGAGGACAGCTCCAGAGGATTATCTTACCTGTGGGGAGGAAGGATGCAGGATTGTCCTATCTGCCTTCCACACAGGTGGGCCGCAGCATCAGGGATCTCCTGTCTGCTATCGGGGATGTTTGTGAAAGGTACACGCAAAATGATTCCTTTTTGATTGTTTATATAACACAACACTGAAATATAACACAGCTGAGATTTGTTATACTTAACACAACCTCTCTGTTGACATAAATATTGTTTTCCTTGCTTTTCTTTAGAGCATCTGCGCTGAAAACTACCATCAAATCTAAAAACCTGATTCTGCGGCACCTGAATCAGGTGCTCAACATCAGCTTCCTGCTGATAACCAGTGCAAACAGTGAAGAGCATCAGCCCAGGCAGGAGAAGCAAATCAGATGCCATGCCATGACCAGGTGGAGCAGACTGCTCCAGAAAGACTCCCTGAACTTGACATGTGTCCTGGATAATTCAAGTCCTTATGTTTTGGAACGAGGCTGGACACTGAGCGTCACCGTGTTTCCTCTTTCCTACTCATCCACTGCAGGAGGGGAAAGCTGCTCCACTAGTTTTTCATTCCCATTCCACAATCTCCATCCTGGAGAAACATTTGAAGTATCGTTGCCTCTAGCAGCTGCAGGCGACTCATCCTTTCCTATGAGAGTGAGCTGCTCACTCATCTTCTCACTCTCACGTCTCCTGGGGGAGGAGGACACGGCACACCTTCCTGGCTTGCAGAGTAGTTGTATCAGTTTGCCCTTGAACACACTGACAGTAGACTGGCTGCACGCCCTGCAGGTGAACAGTCCCACATCTCAATCCAGCAACATCCCAACAGATGGCATCCAAGCTTTTCTAAGCTCACACCGGACTAGGTGTGTGGGACGAGGGGAGGGAGGAGGAGAGAGTGCTTCAAAGGCCGAGCGAGAGCAGTACTCAGCGAGTGTACGGGTGTCATCAGAGTTACTGAGGGATACACTGGTGTTAAAAAGCTCAGATTTGGACCCTCAGGGGACAAAGGTGGCTCCTCAGAGTCTCTGCCTTTCTCTGCTGGGCTGGCTGTTGTCTGAAGGTCCTGGAGGAGTGAAGATGGGACACCACAGAGACAAGATTGTCCCGAGCAGCTCAGTTGTCACAGCTCGAGGTCCAAATGGAGACACAGTCAAACTGACTGCAAAAGAGGTAAAACATGATCTAATATTATATTAATAAATGTTTACCATGTATAATTTTTGTTATAAAAACATTTGATTGGAATAAAACAAGTGTTGTATGGTGACTGGTTTGCTCTCCAGGTAAATGTAGGGGAGGAGGAGTCCCTGAGCACAATAGAAGTTCGGGTAGAGAGCTCATCTATAGCAGCAGTGTGTGGACTGCACCATGCTGTGCTGCGCCGAGTACAGGTACGAACACACACACACACACACACACACACACACACACACACACACACACACGCACTGATTGATTGAAAGAGGAGCCCCCTGCAGCTGGTTGCATGCTCTGCAGAAATAACCAGCATTTTTCTTAATAAAGTTTTGCGGGAATCAAGCTAAACCCATATTTTGGTTGTTGGTACCTACATTAAAAAGTCATGCTGCAGTGTGGCCTGTTTCCAGAGAGACTTCAGTCTTTCTTTCACACAGACAACTTCATTGTTTGTAATGACTATGGCCATAACTAGACCTTCTCTCAGTTTGATCTCATGAGGCTTAAGAATCTGTTGGGTTAGGGGTCAGGCCTTAGGTGTTAGGGTTGTTCTTGCTTTTTAGAGGAAGATGTTTTATTTGAAACTCCTTCTCTTCATCGGTTGCTCTGGTCCTGGACGCAGGCTCTGCTGCAGAGTGCTCCTGAGAGGGCTGCTTCCACACAGAGGGTCCAGAGTTTAGCTTTAAGACAGGCGCTGCAGCGAGCGGAGGTAAGACCTACATGTGCTTAATTCTGCTCACTAGGTCCTGTAACTCACTTATTCTCATTACAGATGCATCTATCTTTTTTTAGTAATCAGTTACATTAATGAACAGTTAGCCTATGAACTTAATAGAGAAACTATAACCAGCAACTGTTTAGTAAATTTGTTGAAGATATTTAAGCCACTGTAATATATATATTTTTTAAACCCATTGAACCCAAGACTTCTGTAAGACCGCAGAGACGCACCCGTTAGCTTTTTGTCATTGTCCATCATTCTTCTTACATCTCATGTGGGTGTTCTTTCTTTTTAAACCTTTTTTTTTTTTTTTTTTTTCCCCCCCTCCTCCTCTCATGTCAGCGCTTGTTGCAGCAGATCCAGCAAAGTCGAATCTCAGGAGCTTTTGGCGTGGGTGTGTCCACAGGGCAGATGACCCGATCTCTTCTCAGTGTTTACAGAGAACTCAGAGAAAATCCTCTCCTCATAATTTAATACTTTTTTTTCCAGCTGCGCCTGCACATCTGTCAACCTTGTTCGGTGTTATGTAACCTGTCTTGACTGAGAAATAATATCCATGATAATTGCTGCTGTAAATACACTTTTGTGTTGAGTGTAATTTCATAT